AGCCTCTAAGAGAGCTGAAAAGGCACATGCATTTGGTTGTACCGTACATACATAGGTGATTATGGCAAAGAACTCAATCTATTACCATTAATACTTTCGGTGATAGGAATATGTTCCTTAATTAAGTGGGGGAAAGAAATTATCGATAGCCTCTAAAAAAAGCTATATGGTACAGCAAGTTGAGGGTGAGTTGTAATTTGCTATAAATAGCGACACACAAGAGCGTATATAGAGTACTGGAAGAGAGGCCTTACATGGGGATAGTAGCTTCATCTTTGGTAGCCAAGGATGACTTGCCTGTATCCTCCTCTGAGGTACGTACGTATTTCGTGATGGGTATCTCACCGCGCGATTCACAGGCAGTCTCCTTGGCTAAGCTCAGTNNNNCTCAGTGGCTACCATCCTTCATGCTAGGCCTGCGTCTTTTCCTACATTGCGGCGTGAGCAATGCGCCGTCGAAGGAGAGGTTGACGAAAAGTAGGCCGTGTTAGCAGCAGAAGCGGGAAGCAAACCACATATATATCAGCAGTAAAAAGAACGCGAACCAGGGAAACAATAACGAAAATACAGAATTTACCGATGTTCGACAATCGATGTGATTACCTACGTCCTCGAAGAATTTCCCTAGCTAGCGACACCCTCAGTAATTGGAGTGCGTTTCACTATATATGCTTCGAATTCTGGGCCCCAGTGATATGTATTCTCCATGTAAATTAGGCTCCACAAACAAGAGTTTGATCGCCAAATTTTGTTGTAAGAATCATGATTATTTGAATATCAGGCTATGCCACATAAATTCAACCACAGTTATGTAGAAGTGAGTTTAACTTGTCCATATTTTGGCAAACTGCATGTATATCTGTGTCACGGAGTAGTATATCTGATACAAATGCATTGTATTATTCCAAACAAATGCAGGCGATGTGGTGTCAAGATCAAAATTGTCTTCTTCTTCGTCTGCGAGTTTACAATAATCTAGAATGAACTATAGACCGAATTAGATGAAAATTTCCATGAAAACCATCAGCAATGATTCAAGAGGAAGAACAGTACTGAATTAATGCTACTAAGCAAAGGCTGGCATATGTGAAGAGAAGAAAAACGACTGGTGAATGCTGTACGTCTTCACCAAAAAAAAAAAAAAAAAAAAAAAAAAAAAAATTCTTGTTGCCATCTCGATCATCATGATAATGAGTTCTTGTTCCAATTAGAGCTCTTAAGCGCATACTTATCGTAACAAAATTGTGTGAATGTGGGTGCAGGTGAACGCGGTTTCACAACCGCGTGAGTGGACACGGACGGGAGAAAAGCCCACGAAGGCCCAACATCACGTTTATATATAAACGTTGATTTTTCCTAGGTTTCGTGAGCAGGAGGTTGCTTTTTTCTTTTCTCTTTGCGGCTGCGTAAGGTTTTGGAGCAGAGAGCGCACGGAACATTTGTGGCGGCTACAGTTCGCGTGCAGAGGGAGAAAAGCAGAATTTTGCTGGGTTTTGTGCATCCTCTTTTGTAAAGAGATATATTGTGAGGGATTTGAGGGTTTATTTGAGGGTTTAGATTGAGAGTGATTGTAAACCCTAGTTGTATTCTCTCCCTCTATTAGTAGATCTCCCCCCTCCTTGCCCCGTGGACGTAGGCAATTTACCGAACCACGTTAAAATTGGTTGTACTGTTTTTGTGTGATTTGTAATAGCTTTTAGGGTCCCTCAACGCGCAGTCCTAGAGCTGACGAGAGGAAGAGCTAATATCCTACTTTGATAGGATATAGGCTTCAGATTCTT